ATTACCTGAAAAATTAAAACAACCGCACATACAAAAATATCTATACGTTTAAATCTTTTTTTTCTTGAACATTTATCTTAAAACTCTTCAGCACTAAGTTATTAATACATACGGAATAATTTAAAGTTATTTATTATTTATTAATAACCAATATATGCCAATCAACATTCTTAGAAGGACTTTCGACGATCACACGTGATTCAGTTTTTTGTTTAATTATAAAACAATAAATATCAAACAAGTTTTTTGAATAATTTTTTTTCCAAATTACATTTATCCCCAAAATCACCTATCGTCCATGTAATTTTTATAAATAAATTATCTTACCAACTCGTGTATTACCAAAAAACATTTTCAATGCATCCAAAAAAATTATTAAAATTAATATAGATAATGTAAGTAATTTACAGTTACAGTTATTAATGTAGAGTTGGATTTTTACATAATACCCTAAAGTTCAGTTTGTTGTCACTTCCGATCTTTGGCCTTCCCTGATTTGACGACCAAATTGCACTTCTCGTAACATTCCTCTGGTGGCAGTCTGTTTTTTTTTACTTACCACTACCCAATTAGAAATTAGCCATAACGTAGATCGGAATAATAGACTGAAATCCTAGTGTGCAATTTGAGACACAATGTACGTATTGCACAAATTGGGATGTTGAACTTTTTAACATACATATCAAAAACTAAACGTTGAATATTGCAATATTGACAATTCGGTAGGTGACTGCAATGGAAAACGCAGTTTTCAGGATTGGCCGAGCTGAAAGGGACTGGATTTTTGAATGTAAGTTTTTCTAATTTTTTTGGCTGGAGACGTGTTTCAGATAATACCCATTAAATATGCAATCTAAGTCCATTCCCACGCGAGCAGGCAGTAAACACTCGTCACTTTGTAACCTTGGTTAATAAATGCTTTCTTGTCGATTATTACGATCAGACAAGTTTTTTTACAAATACATTATTAAGGTATCCAACAAGAAATAAGAAGGTACACAACTTTGTCAATAATTTATAAGTGCCAACAGAAAAAAAGTTTATTTAGAACAGCTCATCTTATCAACTAGTTACATTTTGTTGATATTTTTCACCATAAAGACAAATGCAGCATTCAGTGGCGTCAAACATAAGGTTGCATTATATTAAAGTAGCCCTGTAATGTTTATAAGCATGTTCTTTGAAAAATTTAATGACACCCTTAATAAACTGTGATACTTAGAACCCACCATCTAATCGTAAATATACCGTTTGTGTAGACTTGAACACCCATCAGCACTTGGTGTAGTGCCTTACGTGCTTGAAGTTACGATGAAGCTGATTTACTATCATGCACTGCTGGTTGCATGCACAATCTAGCTGTTATTGTGAAGATCCACTGGAAAAGGTTGATTCAGATCTTGGGTTATGGATCTGGTTTGACTTTATAGGGGCCAAGAGAGCTTTTCCATTCGTCATATGTGCTAACGTGTTTGACTGAATATGTGAAGTACTTTTAAGAGTAAATGTGATGGTCACAAAATTTTTTAAAAGTTTTTTAAAGGTACCCACAAAAAAACAAATGAATAGATTCACAACTTAATAAAAAATTTATTGGTTTCTAACGGAGAGATAAGTTATTTCTAACAGCAGCTCATAAATTCAATTATTTGCGTTTTATTGATGTTCTGCATCATCAATAAATACGATGAATTATGTGGCGTTAAGTAGAAGGTAACATCCTACCGGACTAGTCCCATAATATTATATAGCCGTGACATTTCATGGTCCACTGAATAAACTTTCATACGTAGAACCCTGCACCACCTGTAATAACACACTTGTAAATGAGGTTGATATCACCTCTTGGTAGTAGTTATGATTCTGCTATCGCTTTGTGGAGGCCAAAAAGACTTTTCCATTTGTTATTTGTTCAACGATTCGACTCAGTGTAGTGTTTCTTCACTAATTCTAATATACCAAGTCTACTTCAATGCCATTTTTTGTACTTTCAATGCCACTTCAATACTGTTGTAATTCTTGTGGTCTCGGCAGAAAGCATAGAAGTCACAAAATAAATCCAATGAATATGAAATGAAATATTAATTTTCGCCATCGGTGTGCATTTCTCCAAAGTGATTACTGGGCTCGAGGGACTCCTTGTGATTTCCCTGGATGGATGCGCAGCAGATACGAACTCTATTTTTCCTACTGAGGACGCAGTAAACGTGTAAAGGTAGAAAAAAAAAAAAAAAAAAACACCCACAGTAGGAAATATTAGCTATTTTTTCCTCATGATAAATGATAAATTTGAATACCAACCCGCACTATTGCGTATCATTTTTATTTTTTTGTATCGCCAACAGTATCGATAAGTATCCTGCTGAACAATTCAGTACCTACAACATTTGTGAACATGAGATAAATTCTCATTCGACTCTCATAAAACTCCGTGATAAACGTATTGTAATAATGCATATGATCATATCATGTCGTAGAATTGTACGTGACCATTTAAAACTTAATGTATGAAAGAAATAATAAAAAAAAACAAAGGTCGACACACCTCAGATTTTGTGCTTATTCGATATTGTATGAAGTAATAATCATATTTAATGTTCTTTGTTCTCGTTGCTAATAAGTATAAAAACGGTCTATTTGCCTTCTGAGCGGTGGGGAAAAAATAAATAACTACATACTGCTAAAGACAACAGTGGTTTTCAATACATTATGGAGGGTGGGGCGAGAACAAAACAATTAAAGGGGTTGCTGGAACAACGGCATGTGTTCTAAATTTAGTGTGGGGATTGCAAGTGGATGCAGGGTAACATTGAAAATTATGTGAGGGAAGGGGCATAGGGAGCATGAAAAAAGTAACAGAAAGTTTTATGTGGTGAAAATAAAGGATAAATTCACGGAATTTTTCCTTATTTTGCCGGGTTGCTGTGGGTGGCTCTAAAATTGGTGCGGGAGGGAGGACTCGGTAGGCTCTGGGTATTATTTTATCGGGTTAACGCAACTGAGATAACAATCGAATTTTTCGGGGAGATGAAGGGAGGCGCACTAGAGGTGCGAGGGGTAGTGTGGAAAGCTCCACCTTAACAACTGAGTAATATAGGACAATTAAAGACAATAATTAATTAGCAAATTTTTATAGATTTTAAGTTTTTTACGAGATTGTAAGCGGTAGGGTAATTTCAGCTCTTATTTTAACCATTCAAGGCATTCGAGTTCGTAAAGAAGACTCGCTGAGGAAAAATTTGATGTTAAAAAAATTAAGATAAATCTGGTCGAGATTTGTTCTCGAGTCTTGTAGTTGTCTCTGCACCTTATTGTGACATAGGGGGAGACTTCACGGGCGTCCTGCGGTAGGGGATTCAGTTTGGAAGTTCGGGATAAGGATGAAAAAATGGGCATCAAAAATATTAATTGGGAAAGTTGGGACAGGGTTTACCTTTTAGATGGGTAATGAGAGATGGATGAGAAATTACTAGTTGGGTTAACGTTTAATTCCTCCTACAATCAGTTTGTGATGGGCACTAAGTAATGAACACCCAAACGATGTTTGAATTGGAAAAATGTATTTAAAAAATTTTAATTTAAGAGGTTTCAAGATTATTAAATTTGCATAAATTAATTAAATAATGTTTTTGTGATTTGATTTTTCATGTACAAACCTTTGTAAAATAATTAAAAGAAAGTTCCAATAATTTTCCGGCAGTAAGAGTAAACGGTTTCATTGCAGCTTGCATTATGTTTAGTATCATTTTAGATTCCGAAGGCTTCATTTCGTACCAAGGTATATCATATATGACGTGGAAAATATTCGAGCTCTACACATTTTAAATATATTATAAACAAATAGATGATAAACATAATTTTTTACTTTTAAATACCTCGGATCGAAGTTTTTCGGCAACAAAACAGTACGTGAAAAGACTCAAAATACATGCTGATGTAAAAACTATAACAAATACTGCAGTAGATATACTGTCTTTGAAATTTTTCATACGTAGAATCTACGGATAACATACATTTTTATATTAATTAGCATATCATGGGAGAAAAGTTTATTGACTTACCATAACTAGTTGATAACCTTGTAAACATATAGTAATTATGTTAAGATTCATCTGCACCAAAAATATTGGATTGAAACTGCCTTCTATGCAATAACTAAGCCTTAAAAATTAAAAAAAATCTTAATTTATAGCTTGTGGATGTATATTTTATTGGTTTTCTCTGTTTCTTATGATATAAATTTCATATTTACATATGTAATTTGCATAAATGTGAATGCAATTTGAATGAAACATTTACATATTTAACAACTACCTTTCCGCATGTTAAAACAGTGAACAACTAGAGTTTTATTGAATGAATTTTTTTTTTTAATTTTTAAATATTAATAAAGACTTAAATTATTTGCATTAAAAGATATTAAAATTTCTTTTTCATGACATGAAATTGTTGTCTTCTATCAAGTATCATGTTCCAACTTATTATCTCAACAAACTCTATTAAAAATGGTGGATATTTCAAGACAAAAAAATACCAATATTATAGCATTTGTCGTACTTACTTTTGAAGATGAATATGTCTATTAACAAGTACGGTTATTAACTTAACAAAACTTCGTTGTTTGCTTTTTCTGCTTATATTTCGTATGCTCAACTGTAGATTCAGTAACTGTGCACACAAATGCAATATTGAAAATATAAAAAAACCATCAAATGAGGTAAACGCTGCAGCACTAATAATTGCTGCAAAAAACTGCATGATCCATATCAAACGATATCTCAAGATACAAAAAATTGAAAATTCAAGCAATGTTAAAAAATAAATTCATAAACTGTTACGAGCATTACATGGTTAAAAGTGTGAGCTGGACATTACAACAAATAATACTAATTAATTCATGTTAACCTGGCTCCATCATTATTTTAGTTAATAAATTGCAGAAAAAAATGTCACTCATGAAAGCCCTTCTATCTGCTGGAGAGTACAATTAGTCATTTGAAACGTAATTACCCATCATCGTAAATGTCCATTGTTTTGACGAAAAGTTTGAAAAGATATAAGTAGCCAATTATATATTACGTGAGAGAATTTTATTTTCTCTGTAATAACATACCATAGCTTGCATACTTAATTTAGTTTACCATAAGTCCCGCTTATTTCTTATAAAATGTGGAAAAAGAACTCTCTCAAGCTTTCATCGGATAAGATAATTATACGAATATGTTGTTGTTTTTATGCATATTTAATTTAGCTTACCATACGCCTGCCTCTTTTTTATAGTATACAGAGACAACGCTCTCAAGCTTCTACTGGACAATGTAATTATAGAATACGTTGATGTCATTGATGTGCATACGCAATACAGCTCACCACATACTAGCTCTTTTTTCATATAATACGGGAAAAATTATAAATGATATACATAACACAAATATTATTCATCAACAAATAATTTGTTCATGAATGCAACTCTCATACGTAGGGTCATTTGATGAAAGAGGTAAGGAGCACTGAGTAAATAAGTTTAATCCTTGATGCTACAGAGTTTTCCAGCTGACAAGCTTGTGATTAAGGGAATCATTTATTGTTCACAAAAATATTTTTCTCACTATGACTGGATCTCGTAAACTTTTTGTAAATTTTTTATCATGGTTATGTTTGGATAAAAAGCATTTATTGATACTTTAAATTGTTTTAGTAGAAGTTTCGAAGGACATTTTATTTTTCACAGCCAGTAACATTGATAAATAACCAGCAGAGGTTTTTAAAATCTAAAAAAAGTAGTAATTTGCATTAGTACTTTTTAAAAATATCTTTTGTTAAATAACTTATTAAAAAAATTTCAATGTGTACGAATACTGCATAAAACTTACTTGACAATATAACTGCAACGAGAAATTAGCAAATTTTCCAACTGTTATTAAAAATGGATGCTGTGCTCGATTAATCATAAAAACTAGTAATTGTGCTTGTTTAGCTGGCAAAATGAACCAATCGCAATTGTATGCTGCATGGCTGATTTCTACACTCTGTAACCAAAAGTATTTCTAATTAAAAAGCACAATATTTGTTTTTATTACATTCAGTTGTAATGTAAGGATAAAGTGATGTAGGTGTAGAAAAAATATGTAGATTTCGTAAAAATAATAATTTGAGAATTTTTTTTATTAAAAATCGTATTGTATTCTTGGAGTGAAATTTATTTACTAATTCGTGAAATTCAATCGTATGAAAAAATTCTGCAGAAATTCTTGCAAGAAATTCGTGTTTTTCCTGTACAATAGAAATCTTTCTTTACTGAAACAAAACTTTTATTTCATTTTAAAAGATTACTGGCTTTGTATTTTTTGCCAGAATTTTTTTGCCCTGTAAGAAATCCTTCAGGTATTTCTGCAGGATTTATTTATACAAGTATAAATTCTAATTCTTCAAGATTTTTCGTTCAACAATAGTATCAATACCTTGAATGCTAACTGTTATACTGTATCAAACTTCATGTTTTCAGAAATCAATTTAAAAAACTCAAGTGATATGGTCAGATAGTTACGAATTTTCCCCCCCTCAAGTTAGAGTTTGAAATTGTAGTATTTTCAATTAAAGCTTTTAAAAAGAACAATATAAAGAAAGAATTTGATGTTACAAACAACCGTTTCTAATTAAATATGAAATGAGTTTTAACTCTCGTATTATGACATAATCTTGGCCCTCGTGTGGAAAATAATTTTATTCACTTGGAGTGAAAGATTTCATTGTTTTTCTAAGATGACTAATCAATGTATGTCACTATAATTTTTATAAATATTGAAAGAATGTATCGGTTCCAAAAATAAAATCGAAAATTACAAGAAAATTTACAAAAAATCAGCAACTTACTTCCTGTCGTAATAGTTCTGAAATATAACAGTACAAGAAAATCGTGAATAAAAATAAAACCAAAAAATATATCATAAACAACAATTCCAATGGAGATGTATTATCGGCAGCTGTTATCTAAAAATATTATAAATCTTTTGAGACCCTAATTACTTTTATGTTAGATACTTTTAACAGCCTAGTAAGCTGCATACCATAATAAGTTGATAACCTTGAGTACATAAAACAAAAATACAGGGTACCATCTGTATGAGAAACATCGTACTGAAAGTTTCTTCTATGGTCATGGAAAACCTGTGAAAAAAATTAAAAAATTCCCAAATATTGGTTGTATTGCAGAACATCATTAACATTATTCACGTTTACCTCCATAACTGATTGTATCTCATGTGTATTAAAGAGAATCTGTCGATGAATTCCACCTTGTCATTGATATTATTAATTTTTTTAGGTAGTTTAAGTAATTCCAGCTTAAGAATCGAGAGCTGGGAAATCAAGTGCAGCATAAGAACGACGAAAAACGAATCACTGGTAGAAAATGCTATGGATGCAAAAACGTTAGAGAGTAGCTGGCCAAACATCGAAATTTGGTAATTTGGACTGACTTGAGTATCGTACGGAAATGAGCCTATCATGTACAAAGGCCACTCGGTTCCATTGGTTTTCTTACCAAGGGCGTAAGATATCGGCTCGAGCAGGCCCACCATACATTGCATCAAAAGCGTCCCTTCGGTCAAAAAAATGCACCCCATCGAGAAAAATCTACTCATCCTGGCGTTTCTCCACATAAGTGCAAGTTTTTTCTCGGAATTTTGTACTTTCCAGTCCGTAAAGACCTCGCGAACCAAGTATTTCAGATCTATTGGCACAAAATGACGTATTAATTAAAGATCCATCCTTTTTATGCGATGAAAAAAATTCGTTAAAAAACATAAGTCAATCAATTTTATCTTTGATAAGTCATAACATTAAAAATAATTAATAATGCATTTGTTTTGTATATTTATAAGGCTGACATTTTTTATAACAAATTTTATGGAAATTTTTTTACTTTAAAGCACAAAAAAGACTATTTAACGCTAAACCAAAAAATTCGTCTTCACTGTCGAAAATCACCAGCTTTTTGGCCCACAAAAGCTACATAATTCTTGTGATCTAGCCCTGCATTTTTTCCATGCAAATAGCGTCAATGAACATAATATATGACTGCGTTTTTAGTGGTTGTTTAAATTTTAACAAAAATGACAACGTTTAAATATCCGGGCTACGGTAACAAGTAAAAAGAAAATAATTGTGGTAAGAAAGTGGCTTTTTTCGCACTACTGCCCACGGCGAAGAAGTTTCGTTTTCCGCCATCGCATATGACCCACGGGAGAAAAACAAAAGACTCTTCTCTGATCAGATAATCATAATATGTTATTCACCAGCTGTCAACTGCCTTCTATTTGATACATTATTTTTTACCTTTACTTCCATGGTGAGTAATATATATATTATAAGACTAAAAAATATTTTAATAACAAAAGCGAAACCTTGTCAGTTTTAATAAAATTTGAACAGCTACGATCATTGGAAGATCATTTCTTTGTATCATTTTTCAGGTTTACTCTTAAATCTAACTATTTTCTATTATAATTATAATATTCTACCATGTTTATGGTACCAAATACTGATTATTTTCACCATAGCTATCGTCGTAGGAATATTACAGTTGTTCAATATTTTGGTAACAGTATTGAGATCTCTCCATGAAAGCAACATCTTTATGGTTTGCGAGACAGTGGCAAAAAGAAACATGGTTGTCACAGACGTTAGAAACCGAATCATCGATGTCCAACCGTTTTTGTAACCGAAATCAGGCCATGCTCCGAGTAGGCGCAAGAAAAAACGACAAGGCCCGATTTCGTGGTCGTAACCTGAAATAATAATTTCACTGTACTCATAATAATACTACTTATTATCCCTGCGAATTTTATTAATTGCATTTTGAAGCATGACTACTTTGAATCTTGGACGGAGCAAAAAGTTTAAACACCCACAGTACAACTATTGACTGAATGTGAAACGAAGAAAAACTGGTTTTTTAATCACAAGTGGAATTGGATAATGTTTTTGATGACTTGAATTCTTTTTGGATTGATACAATATCTAAGAATAGTTTGCAAAAAACGTAATTTAAGATGAACAACCTTTGTTCAGTTTAATGGAAAACGATAGTCTGCTGAGAAAATTTTTATGTGAAAGCTTGCCACAAATAAAAAAGTTTGTTATAAAATAATCTTTGGATTAACTGAAAACGATTTATAACAATTACAGCATCTGGACACCGTTGAACTATACTTATGATTGAAAAAAATACTTCAATTTGTGTGTGTTGCAGCGCACTGCACGCAAGTTAGCAGTTTTGAAAAAGTATTTGTACAATTTTTAATGCAAACAAATCCTACAAAAATACAAATAAATTTTTATAACGTTTTTTTCAAGTCCTAATGACAAACAATGACAAGTAACAATAATCTTGAAAATAAAAAAAATAGTTTTAAAAACACATTACCGTCCAAAGTTCATTGGTCGGAAGAAAATAATAACAACTACGTTGTTTTCAAAATCCAAAGAAGTTGGGTTGAAAAAAAGATCTATTTTCACAAAGTTCTCTTTAATTTAAAAAAACTTTTAAGTGAAATTTCAAATTACATTCAAAACTATTATTTAAGATATTTAAAATTTATTTTTAAACTAGATAATGATGATGAAGTTTAAACTCAGCATACAATGTCCTGAATAAAAACTTGTATACGTGATTGTGAGTTATTTATTTTATCTTGTGTTGCCCCATTCGGATAATTGAGTTTAATTTCCAATCTAACGTAGCGAGAAATTATTTTTAGTTACACACTAGAGAGCAAATGGAAATAAATCAGTTTTGACATGAGACGTACCACTTTTAGTTTGATTTATAATATTTTTCTTCGAAATAACTTTTTTCTCTGGAAGTCCCATCATAGTTACGGAAAATTCGAGCTGACCCTATGGTACGGGAGATACGTACAACACTGACCATTTCGCAGAACTGTAAAGCTTTAAGATAAAGAGCGCATGCTCGACGAAATTTACCGTCCTTCAGCCACTTAATTTTTTTTTAAACGATAGCTGGTACGTTTTTCACGTAATTACTTACGTTTTTTTGGTCATCAATATTTCAAGAGACTTGCTCGAACATTGCACATTTTTAGCGGCCGCAGTATCCAAAACCTTTCAATAATACAGCCGAATAACAAGCTCGTTCTATACCCTGTCATTAAATTGATCCGTACGTTTAAGTAGATCTCCCCAATTGATAATAGATTAAGTATGGGACGCTTTTCTACGTGAGGTACAACAGCCATAACTTTTCCACGGCAAAAAGTATCATTGTAACATGGGTACTCGACAGTGCTAATTTTACAAAGGTATCTTCCTTAAATTGTAACCAATTGTCGGGTTCCCTCTTTTCTGTAATTTATTGTATTGTTGATTATTAAATTTATTTGCTCGTAGAGCGTGAAAATAATTATCTTTTTATGGAAAAATAATTGAAAAAAACTTTTTTTCAATGTTCCTTCACTTTTTTCAACCATAAATAGATCTTAAACACTAAATAATAATGGTCACTGTGATTGGATTAATTTTATCAGTAATTTTAACACGATTTTCTTTTTGTTTTGGTACAGAAAAAAAATTTCTTTTTTTCATCATAAAGCTTATTGTTAAAATATGTAGTTTGTTCAAAATCCACTTTTCATCTGTAATGTGTGTATCATTTTCTTGTAGATGTAGAATGTGCAATTCCTTGTAGAGTGCCCACTTTTTAGTGCAGTGATCAAAAAACCATATTTATTATAATAATTTTTCGACGTCAAGTTACATTCTAGTTGAAAATTTATTACATAAAAAGTTATTTTTTGACAAGATTTCAAACTGTTCTATGTACGTGTAAAAGTACAAGTTACAGTAAAAAAAATTTTTTTTTGATTCATTATTAGTTTCCTTATTTTTTGATAAACTAGCTTAAAATAGTTCAATGTTTCTATTCTAAAATATTAATTAGAAAAGGTATAAGTAAAATACTGATTTTTGTTTTATTCTGCAGTCTGGAGCTACTGGAATTTACACTTTTATTATTGAAGGATTTTTTAGCATTAAATAGTTTTAAGTAATGCTACGTACTGTATTTCAAATCCTATCCGATATTTTTTTGAGATGAGTAACTGACAATGTAATATGGTGTACAATGAACGAATAGTCAAAGAATATGTGTGCATGTAGTGAGAAATCATCGGAAACTGTAATTTAATTTAAAGTATACGTACTAATAATAATAATTTTTTAAGAAAATATTTTAATATTTTAATGTATCATGTTCCAACTTATTATCTCAACAAACTCTATTAAAAATGGTGGATATTTCAAGACAAAAAAATACCAATATTATAGCATTTGTCGTACTTACTTTTGAAGATGAATATGTCTATTAACAAGTACGGTTATTAACTTAACAAAACTTCGTTGTTTGCTTTTTCTGCTTATATTTCGTATGCTCAACTGTAGATTCAGTAACTGTGCACACAAATGCAATATTGAAAATATAAAAAAACCATCAAATGAGGTAAACGCTGCAGCACTAATAATTGCTGCAAAAAACTGCATGATCCATATCAAACGATATCTCAAGATACAAAAAATTGAAAATTCAAGCAATGTTAAAAAATAAATTCATAAACTGTTACGAGCATTACATGGTTAAAAGTGTGAGCTGGACATTACAACAAATAATACTAATTAATTCATGTTAACCTGGCTCCATCATTATTTTAGTTAATAAATTGCAGAAAAAAATGTCACTCATGAAAGCCCTTCTATCTGCTGGAGAGTACAATTAGTCATTTGAAACGTAATNAAATTGGTTTGATTTTTACAAGTACACTTTGTGTACTATAATATTGTATAATTTTATGTAAAATGTCAATTTAATATTATAAATGACAAAATTTATTTTCAGCTTAAGTATAAAAATAATATTCTGTACCGTATAGTGTACAAAGTTCAACGTTGGATGTCTGCACGTAGAATAAGCCAAGATTTTTTTTCTCACACAAGTTTGCACGTACATAACAAAACTGAAGAGAACTCAAAGCTGGAATTTTCGCCCACTGAGTGTCAAAAAGTTGTAGCTTTTGTACTCGGTAATTATTACGCTTTGGTAGTTTGAGGCAAACAAATGGACATACAACCAGCAGATTTAAAACATATACACTTCTTGTATGTATTACTTCCGTAACCCTCCACGGTAAATTAAATGTTTTTAACAAATTTGAAAACAAACAAATACTTAAATATAATACAATGAATAATCTTCAGGATATAATAAATACAACACAAGAGGTAGGTAAACATAATAATGTATTATTATTTTGTTACATATAATTTAAAAAATGTATAACTCCAACAACAATAAAAATAATAGTAATTAAATAAAATGATCGATACATAATATAATTTATATATTCATGTATGTATATATACACTTGCATAACAGAAACGCATATCTTTAAATAAAATATGAAGTATTTTTCAACTTCCACAACATGACGTAACAACACATATTATAATGTAAAAGCCTCGACGCTCGCACATGTACGCAAAACTTAAAAGTAATAATAGTATTGATATAAAAAAATAATTTAACTTGTTTTGATGGATGAGGGTAGCTGCCACCGTAATGAACGTCTCAATATTATGCTCTTGAATCGTTAAAAGAAAAATCGGTAATCATAAAGCAGCTTGTCCTTCGCGTGAAGACAAAAGTATATGTACAGCTTTGACGGGGAAGTTGCGCACTTTTATTGCGGCAGCTATGGTCCTTTCGGGAACGAGAAAGGGACCTGGAAAACAAGAAAACGTTAATTAACTGTGAACGAATAGCTATACGCTTTTGAAATTAGTACCGATGCAAAAAGTCTCTAGTCGTTTCGAGTCAGAGATTTTAAAAGTCTTTCGAGGAGCTTTTGTGACTTCAAAGTCAGCGAGTGAATTCCCGTGAATTTGTCCTGAACGGGAAATATCAAATAAAGTGAGAATATAAGGATATAACGCAGAAATTTTTTCGAAAAACTGTTTGGGACACTCATTTCGTGCGTACAAGAATTGTCTTGGTAAATATTTAAATGACAGCAGTTCAAGTAAAAGTGCGTGATTACTATACTTAATTATTTTTTACACTGCTTCGGAAGAATTTTTAATTTTATTTCGTGTAGTGCCATGAAAAATTCAAATGGTTACTTTGGTCATGTTCGCAACTTTCAACTGTGTTGGGCTTTGTAATATGCGACCCAAGCATACGTCAAAGGGTATTTATGTTGGTACTTGATCAAATTCAATTCAATAATTGGCCTATAACAAAGGACACAGGATTCCTTCGAAATATTTTAAATTACGTGCTTTACTAGTAAAACAAGAGAAGAAAATGTGAAATCTTATCTCCAGCAATTAATCAGAGAGGAATCCTTTATTTCTTGTTGAAATGTTTGAGCAACCGTAAGGTACTGCGAAGGCAATGACGGTACGAGGGTAAGAAGGAAACGTGTACAAAATTAACCATGAAAGCAAAACCTCGTGGACGAAGAGTACAGGCTGCGCGTAATATTATAGGTACTCACCCAAATGGAGGAGAGGGAAAAAAATCGGCCTCCAGGAAATGATCGGTCAAGCGCTCGGGGCGCTGAACGTCTCTGACCGCGGCGTTTTGGCCTGGGGACACGAGAAGACCGCGCAGTCGTGCCTCCTCACCGCTTCCATGACCTCGTCGAAGTGGGCCGACACTTGGACCGCAGCTGCCGGCTGGATCCTGCGGGCAATGAAATTACTCTTGTGAAATCTTGGCCTTCCGGGAAAGAAAGGATGCCACTTGGCTAATGCATTTTCGATTGTACACGCGTGTTTTTGTCTCGTTGTCTGATTTCAGACATTCAGAGCTCGGCTTGTTGCAGATTTCTGGAAGTTCGGAGTATTTGTAAAAATACACGCCGAAGTAGTGATTTATATGATCATTCAATACCACGAAGTCAAGGGGTTTCTGTAAAAGGTCTTGTGACCACGTCAGATTTCATAGTTTATTTACTGAACCGAAAACGACATCGAAATAAATTCATTGGCAACCCGTCGAGGAATCACCCACTTGGTAAGTGTACTTTTATTTTATTTTCATGATGCATTAAACACTTTTAACTCATCAAGTATAATTTTAATATTGATTTTGAAATCACTTACTGCACGGGAAAAAAAGTTGAGCTTTACCCTTCAGTTGTTAACATGCTTTCACTATATTATAGTTTGAATTGATTTTAATTATAATATAAATCACAAGAGGCACATTGAATTTTAGCACTTGAGCACCCGACACCCGATCTCAGGAGTTGTACGCTGAGTACAGAATTAGCCTATTCGGCTCAGAAAAAATTAAATGAGATCAGCTGAAAGCGTACAATCGCCATTGAATTCATTCGAACGACATATCAAATGCTGTGGGGAGCGAGGCTTTTTGTGGCGTGTGAAATGGTACGTGTGAACCATCCAGTGCGCGATAAAAAAAAAAAAAAAAGGATCCAAGCAATCATTGGCCTATCGTTGAAAGATCGAACGGCTAAATTTACCCGCACGTGGATAACGATGAAATAAATGGCCATTTAAAAGCGTTAACGGCGTATTATTAGAGCATACCGAGCTATCCACGCGATTGAATATGCATACACGTTTTAATTGCCGCTTTTCTCGACCCCCCCCCCCCACCGCGTTAATCAAACGGCGCGTAACCGGTACTTTTATTCGATTTTTCGTGGATATAGGTATAGAGATACACGCTAGTTAAACGTCATTTCGATGCTCCACGACTTGATGGGTTTATTGGTGCTTCATCGATGAATCAAATGTACTATGAGTTAACACTCTCGGCAGGTACATTCCACTTGGAGCAACAAAGTGTTGAACAGCTCAAAGTAATCCGGGAAAGACTCGGGAATAGGTGCGTGCCCATATATTGGACACACTTGGGGCGCCTCGGGCCTGCCCTCGTGTATATTACATGCACTTCGGCCAAGAACGATGGGCCGGTGTGTTTTTCTTTATGCCCGTGCGCGGTTGACCCAAATATGCTGGGCGACGGTGATCGATTCGTTCGCTCCGAGACGATTGATTCGCAATTTATTTTTGACGTCTTTGCTCGTTCGTTTTTTACGACAGAGGGCTTCGTGTGGGTGCTACGTTGAGACTATTGGAACGCGCTCTGTATCCCCCCCCCCCTTCGTTGGCCGTTACTGCTTGTGGAAAAGTTTCGCGGGGCATCGGAGCCATTGGTTACTGTTTGCGTTCGGAACTGTGTACCTTACGAAGCCGAAAGTAATTAGACAAATACAATTCAAGTTCCTTACGAATAATAAAACGATTTATAAAGCTTTTCGCGAATAATAGTCAATAGTATATCATTCCGTGTAACTTTTGTGTGGATAAAGTTTACGATCGAGACGAAAAATACCGACTCAAAGTAAGCTATAATTCTATTACTCATACATCCAAACCATACTTAAGCTGTTTTTCCAACCAAGGGTTCAACGAACATCCAGATATAAAAAAAAAATTAAATAAACAAAATCGCTTGAGGTAGGAAAAATATTTATACACATCAGCTTAAAGTATCGCATATAAAACATAAAAAAAAAAAAAAAAAATTTATTTCTTCGCGTTATCCGTTAGATAGTTACTGTCGTGTGAAAAAAGTATTGAATCCTAATGGTCACACATCTGGTAAACAACTAGCTTTCGTGTCCGCATGAAACAATTTCTCTACTACACCTGACAGAGTGTCGAAGTGTAAGCATGGGGGGAAGGGGTTGAAAATTCCCATCCCCCAAAAAAAGTAACATCCAATTCGATTAAGAGTTAAGGTTAAGCTTGAGTGTGCATATTATTGTTTTTGTCAAAAAAAGTGCTCAAATTGTTTTCTTTTCCCATGAAAAAAAAAAAAAAAATAGTATTCTCGGATTTGGCGACACGATCGATTCGCGCGCCTGCATCCAGCAAGTGAAAACTGTGCTAATTCTAGGAGGTAAAAGTCTCGTCGTGCTGGCCGACGAGCCGAGTATCAGTCAGTGGAACGATATGCAGCAGCGGTTTAAGCGAAAGCCCGCACGAGCCGAGAGGAAAGTTATCCGAGCGCATTCTTTCTTTTACCTCCTCCTCCCCGTCGTATACCACCTCTTTCTCCCGACACTGTATATAGACCTTGTGAATTTTGGTTTACGGAAAGGGTCTTCTAATGCTTTGACATTTCTTTGATACTCTGAAAAATGTTTCTAACGCTCCTTGGTGATACAAAGGAGTACATTTACAGTATATTACAGAGGATTTTACCTATTTTGCCGTGTAGTGATCATTTATAAATGACTGTACCGTTTCTCACCACAGGTAGGTCACAGCTTATGAAAACTTTAGGAAGCCATGTTTTTGTAATTTAATCGTAACTTTAGTTACTAATGGTTCTTCAGTCATTTTCTTTAAAAAAAAAATAAAACAAAAATTACTCTGCATGATGACAACATCGAGTGCTTGAAATTTATACGTGGTTAAAATTGGAAGCTTTGCTTATTGCCGAAAAAATTATTCAAAAAATGAGAACAAATCTTTTTTTTTTCAACCACAGTAAATTTTTAAAATTCTTAAAGTGCACGTGTTACATAAATCATATTTAAAAGTTAAAACATTTGAATGGTCCTCAGCTAATATTTTTTGGCCAACGCATGCACGTCTATGTTCTATACGTTAGAATGGTGGAAACGATACGTTATGTCAAATTATAACAATTTTCACAAATATCCGAAATTTTTTTGAAAAATATCACAGGCACATTTTAATACTATCGACTTTCGGTTAATCACCGGTCACAAATTTTTTTACTTTTGGCAACTCTTGGCGGTTCCTGCGCGCGATACTAGGGTGTATTTATTTCGAAGCAGCTCGGACACTCAGCGTGCTGTTGTAAAGAGATTACGCGAGAGAAAAAAAAAGAAACTGCTTCTTTACGACGCGAAAGTTGGAGATACTTGCTTGGTCGTTTCCGCTTCCTAGCTGGGCTTGCAACCGTCGGGTCGTATAAATTTACGGCAGGGAAACTTCGTTCGAGAGGACGATGATCAAGGTATCGAAAAATATTCGAAGGGATTACGAATTTTTTTTTTTCCCCCCCATTGAAACGGGTAACGGAGAAGATTTTTTTTATGCGCGTCGATCGAAAGGAGGTTCACGTCTCTCATCCGATGAAGTTTGCAAAATAATTTGCAATATTTTGCCGTTACAGTGCAAAGGGAACTCGCATGTTGTATAAACAAACAGCTTGTACATCATCATGCCACAATCATCATCGGAAATTTTTTTAGTAGAAAAATTCAAATTGACTAGCATTTGAAAAAATGATTAAATTAAATAAGCTACTTTTTGCGACTTATTCGACATTAATATACAATTTTTTTTACAAGGACGCAAAGGTCTGTTTTTTTTTTTTTGCGTTTCACACGAGGTCGTTGCCCCAGTACTCGGTCACTTAAGCACCAGACGAAATGTCCCAATAGTCGGTCACGTTTTTCTTTTATAGGCCTTCGCTACATCTTCAATTGGATATATACGTTGATTTGTATTGAAAAGGTAATTGTTTAGTGTCTGAATAACTACCCGATTTGTCTATGTTTTGAAAATTTATATTGAAAAAATAAGCCAAATGGCCGAGAACTGGAACATCGATCTCTCTGCTCAGTGCAAATTAAAATGACCTGTCCAGTGAAGGAGAGCGAGTGAAAAAAGTAATGGATTATCCCTTAAATCCCACCTGGACCCGTGACTTAGTCCAGACTACTTACGAAACAAGAAAAAAAAAAAACTCACATCCTCAAAAGCCCGTACATCTTCTTGTCCATAACCATGTGGGCGTCGGAGCCGCGCTTGACCATGGCGTCGCAGAATATTTTCTTGGCGCAGGGCGTGTTCGACCAGTCACCAGGTATATGGCTACTTCCTTCAGCCACCTCTACTTTGTCCAAATTCTGCAAGGCGTCGTCGAGTTCGTCATCACTGAGGCTTCGCTTCTTTCGTGCCATTCGCGTATCTTCCGTTAATCTCTCGCTCTTCTTCATGAAAATGCAAGGGTATCAAGCTCCATTAGAAAATTCAAACACGACGAAATTATGTTTAACTATTATTTCATGTATCGGTGTTCTCCTAACAAGGTCAATCATAATATCTAACGTAATATAAAACTGTCGTTGGATTATTTCGGTTGTATATATTGTTCGTCAAGAGGAATTGCCAGGTATGATTTATTAAGCAGTATGTGTTCTTCAAGGCAAGCCGCGGATCACCGGTACATTACTCAACAAACTCAAAGTATAGCTCTCAGTAAATCGACACTGTATGCACGTACTGTGGAAAGCGAACGATAGATAGCATCCGATTTGAAATTCATTGAAACGGTAATTTTTGGCACGAATTCATATAAAGCCACGAGATCAGACTACCTATCGTATGAGTTATTCGATAGGTAAAATTTAACGATGAAAATACTATTGGTAACAATTATAATTCTTATAACGTACTTTATCTTTTTTTGTTCTACTCGTGATGGCCTCAAAGGCCTTTTGAACGATGGCCTCAGCAAAGTCCTCTTCGTTGTCCAGTTGGACGTTGTTGCCTTCGTCGGAAATGGTGTCATCGAGCGATCGAGACGGGGAATCGATCTCAACGATTTCCGCGATCGGATCTGCACCCTTTCTTTGGATATTCCTACGGTGGAGTTAAACAGACGGGCATTCATGAAAATCCACAATCGAACGATCAGTTATTCCAAACGAAACGTCAAATCCCAATCTCACCTGGAACCGGTATCATCGCTGCTCCTTTTCTTCCTACTCGCTCCCCCATCGTAGCCATCACCCTCCACCAGCAGGTAAATCTGATTGACGCTGGGTTGCCCTTGCAGCTCGCCACGCGTCCCAGCTACGGCCTCGAGAGCTCTCTCGTCATCGGCGTCGAAATGCTCACCACCGGCGTTGGAACGCTTGAGCACGTCCACGTCCAGGTAACGGCCAACTGCCACGGCGCCAATACCCAGCGCGGCACCGGATGCCATGAGCCCGAGCGCCGGGATCAATATGGACGAGCCGGTCGCCACGCTGCCCACCTTGTCCTGGGCGGGATCCTGGGAGCGCGACAAGCCGAGGTTCTCCGAGATCTTGCGGGTCGCCTCGGCCAACGGGTCGAGCACGGGTTTGGTCAGCTCCGACATCTACTCGCATCGATTTTCGTTAGACTCGGTTTTTGTTTTTGTTTTTGTTTTTCATCCCGCCCATCAGAAGTGTCAAGTGTGCCCCCAGTCTTTCATCTGTCCCGGACCACATTGTCGAAAGTTATACCGCACGCCATGGTTCCGCAATAGGGCCCGTGACAGATCAAAGTTACACCGGCTGTGCTTGAAATAGCGTTAAAACTCGTGAAATAATTATTTTCCTCCTGTGTACGGATTTGGGATGAAGGAACGGATGGAAAAGCTCTTCGTCTTTCATTTTAGCCAAATGTATAAAATGTGGTTGGTATTGGAAGGAAATGATCTGACCTTGGCGACTCCATCGGTGAACTGGTTCTTGATGCCCTCCGAAATCTTGACCCAGAGCGGAGGCTCGACAGCGGGCCTCTTGAGCCCGTAGTAGTGCGGGGTGTAGGGGTAGTAGTTCTTGTAGTTGTACGAGTCAATGATGTTCTTCTCGTTGAGGACGTAGCGTCTCTTCTGGTGCCTCTGCTCCCCGTTGCTGCTCCCCGAAGGTGGGACGTATTGTTGCAGCAGCGGGGCCTCGGTGTAGGTCATCGTCTCCTCGTGCTTCCTCGACGCTTTGTTGTTGGGCGGCTCGCTCTTGGCGACGGCCTTGGCTGGCTGCACGCCCAACTCCGGGTGGGCGTACTGGAGGACTGGAGCCCGGGTGCCCGGTTTCACGGCCGCCACGCTTGGCTTGGTCGTGTCGGGCGGCGAGTAGAACCGGGAGTTTGGGTAGGCGGCCGACAAGATTTCCGGCTGCAGCATGCGCTTGCGGATGCTCGGGCGGTACGTGTCCTCGGCCGACTCGTACACCTCGGCCCCGAGGACCTCGTTGCGGTAGGGCTTGGGCTTTTGCGAGCCGCTGTCGTCCGCCAACTTTCCATATCTAGGAAACATATGGGGTCTTTATCAATGAATTTGCCGGTAATTTCCTTGTTTTTTTTTTTTTTTTTTTTTTTCCAGAAATGATTGAATAACCAAATCTCATCACGTAAAATTAATCAATGTATATAATAGTTAAACACCACACCAGCTTACGGGCACGTTATACAGTGTCTCCTTGCTGGAAATTCTTTAGATTTTTTTTATGATTATCATATGTAACAAATTGTATGTATTTATTGTTAGGTGGTGAATAATAATTAAGACATGACAAAGGGACCTCCCGTGCCCTTTTGATCAAGATTATATTTTTACCGTAGAGGGCGTATACCTTCGGTGGTGTAAGGGCCGAAAGTTTCTGCAATGGTCCAGAGCATTTTTTCATACTCGAGGTTACTCTACAACATTTCGGGGTGTTCCAGGTTGTTCTGGGAAGGTTCGGACTATTCCCAAAAATTTCAAAACATTCTAGAATACTTTGGATTGTCGTAAAATCCTCTCGACTGTGGTAGAAATTTACAGAGTTAAATTTTCAGCCGTTGCATCTCTAAGAGTACGCCTCTTGGGGTAAAAAAGAAGAAAATATTTTTCGAATCGTTCTTTTTGTACAGGAATGTGGTATAAATTTACGTGAAGCTTTTTTTATAAGTTCGGACAAATTATAGATACTTTGAATGAGATCTTTTTTTGGTTGGGACGTAATGAAACACAGTATGTATAAAAAGTTATGTAAAATTTAGCACGAGGCCATGTTTCAGCTGATTCGTGTATTTTTTGTCTACAAAGTTCCCTGTTGGAGACATCATATATGTCCCCGTCTTGGCCAAATAAGCTGTCAGGTAATAAAGAAATACCAAGTGTTGATATTGATTATATAAAAGAGAAAAAAATTTTTTTTTTTGGCTACAGATCATTGAATGAAAAGGCCGAAATTTTAGAATACGACTGATTTCGTACATGCGTATACGTACAGTAGCACAAAAAGTTCACATGAATTGGAAAATCGTGCCAATTTTTATAGCTTTAGACATCGAAAAGCAACGTTTTTTTTTTTTTTTTTTTTTTTTTTTTTTTTTTTTTTTTTNTAAGTAAATAAAAATTAATCCAATTACTTTTAGTATGTATACCAAAAATTAAAGCATAATATTTGTTTATTTTCATCGACTTTAATTAAATGCTAAGCACATTTGTCGAGATATTATGAAAAAATTATTAAAAAAAAAAATTTTATTGCCTTTCACCATGAGAAACAAAGCCATTGTTCAAGTATATAACTATTTTGGAAACAAAAACTTTTTTTTGCCGGCAAAATCGCTAAAAAACGTATTTTTGAAAATCAAACTTGAGTGGCTGGCCACAAAATTGAAAAGAAAAGAAAAAAAAAAAAAACATCACGATAAAATTTGTTGTGATAACAATAAAACTCGATATCCCAGTAGAGACACCGACACACTCGGACAGATAAGCAGACAATGGGTACATAGCGCGAGAGACGCCCCAAAAGGTAAAATCATCCCCCTCACCTCCGATTGACATCCTCGAAGAAGGTGTCGAAGCTTCCCCCGGACTCTTCCAGACCCTTGGCCGGCTCCGTGACCAACCGGTCATTGATCACCCGCGCGTTCCTCCAGACCTGCACCTTGTCGATCGGCTCGTCGGGCACCCGCCTGCCGTACACCACCGGCATACCATCCGCGTCCAACGCCACGGGCGCCCGCTTCCCCTGCTGCCCGGTAGACCCCGGCTGGGGCTTGACGTTTATCTCGGACCTCACCACCACCTCAGCCGGCGTGCCCTTGCCCTCCCGGTTCTTGGACAGGTTCGCTCCGACGTTGGTGCGCACCATGCGCCTTGGCTCGTGCGGCAAGAGCGCGTAGCGCAAGAGCTGCTCGCTCGAGTTCGCGTCCGCGGGGACCCGTTGCACGGCCCGGGTGGCCTCCGGCCACGAGCGCCCCGACAAGGGCTCGCCGAGGGGCCTCCAGGAGTCGGCGGTGCGGCTCAGGGGCACCCAGTTCCTCGCAGCCTCGATCTTCTGGCGGCGCTGGTCGTGCTCGGGGGAGCGGTTCCAGGGGTCCACGTCGACGTTTTGGTAGCCGATGGTGGTCGCGGGGGCGTCGGTGTCGTTGCTCCCTTGGGCCGACGGGGACTCGACGACGGACTTTTCGCGGCGCTTGACGATGAGGGTGGCCAGGCTGCCCTCGGCCGTGCGGATCTTGAGCTCCTCGGTCTCGCCGGGCAGGCTGCGGGACACCTTGAGCATGGTGCGCGCGTAGCTGGGCTTGGGCAGCTCGCCCGGGGGACTCGTGGTTTCGCCGAGGGACGGGGAGACGGCGGCCAACAGGGCCAGGGCCAGCACCACCTGTGAGCAGAGACATTATATTTCCAATGGTTGCTGCCAACCAAGGATTTTTTGTTTCTTTTTTTGTTTTTTTTTTTCTCTTCGCACGTTTAACCATGTCACTGTAAATCCAAGTGTGTCTCAACATAACACGTTTAAAGTGTCAAGTTGAAATTTTCGCTTTTTTTTTTTTTTTTTTTTTAATATGCCATCGTGGCATTGATGAGAATTTAAAAAACAAAAAACTAAATCTATGGTGCACCAAGTGGTTATTGGACAAAAACCAATGTAACACGTTTCCAAGTGTGTAAAAATCTTTTACTGAGACGTTTTACTCTCTACAGCCTTCGTATGTCAATCGTTAGGGGAAAAAAAATTGTTTAATTATATTAATTTAATATACTAGTTGGGATGGTTCACTAACTATCAATTTGGTTTTTCTTAAAACATTTATCAAGATTATAACTGTAATGCACTTTATGAAAAAAAAAAATTTTGGTTATCCGCTTTTGTTATACACAAACGTGCACTTTGACACACTTGGATTTTACAGTGTGTGTGATTTAATTGAACTTGCCAGATTATGTTTTTGTGGCAAAAGAAAATCACCAATCCCATTATGGCAAGGAGACCTAATCCAACGACATGAAACACGAGGGACTATTTTTTCGTGGCTCTGGAATTTGGGGAAAGAAAAAAATATATATTTCGATGAATGTTTATTTGACGCGCTTAGAACAACAGTGGTCGATTATTCGACGGGAGTAAAGTTGATGGATAGTTGGGGGTAATGAGCGACGATTAGGACGTTTACAGCGCTCTTGCAATTTTTCGTAACGAGTCGGGTCGTTTGTACACTAATTTTCGCACTTTTCGGAACATCCAGGGCGAAACAATGTAGCCGTTGTAACTGTGGCTTTTTCGCTGCTTTCGTTAATATTTCAGTTCCCCGAACCTTTGGCAGCTTCCAAGTTTAAACATTTACCCGATGTTTGCGTGAGCCAAACGATTCGGCCGTTCATAGTCAACAACAAGCGCACGTAACGATAAATGGAAGAAAATTGAAATGCAAATGTAAAACTCTGGAAAAAGGTGTACATAATTCCATCTCATCTGTAATCCACCGAGTGGCTGATGCATACGTTGGAAAAAAAGAGCGTACGTGTACACGATCCTCGCCGTTTTCGTCGGGTTTTCGCGCTCCAGAAATCCACGGGAGCACAACCGACCAGCGAGGAACAGTATTTTTTTTTTTTTTTTTTTTTGTCATAAGCGTACGCGCGAATAAGGCGCTAATTGGCCGTGCGTCCGCGGCCGTCCGGCAATTGCATATATAGTACAGCTGCTGCTCGCGATCTAGTTCGCGGCATCTCTTCCCTCTTTGTTCCGCATATCCATCCGTGCATATGTATTTCCGAATCCGGAACTCGCTTTCCTTTCTCTCTGGACGCGGAAGGAAATACTAATAGTCGGATGATACGCAGAGGAAATGCGCCCGTTATGGAGGAGAAACTGTGGGTTCACGCATGAGTACGATGTTTGGGATGTGCCATACAACAGAGATCAAAGCTGCAGGTATATATATATATATATATATATTTTTTTTTCTACAGCAAAGACAGAGCAAGCGTCGCGGACGTTTTTACCCACTTTTGGTAATTTTTGCCGCGGTGATTTATACCTTGCGGAAGAAATTTCGGTGAAATTTACGGTAAATAAGAGACACATTTCTAACGAACAAACGCATGTAAACTATAGAACGAGGAAGCACTTTGTCGTAATCTTTTCGATTGTCAAGCCAGAAAATATCATCCGCCAAGAGAAAGTATTCTAGTCTTATCTTTACACCCAGTAATATCGTTGATTCACCAAAATTTTTAAAAACCTCGTAAACTGTGATGAAAATTCACGTGATCGACACAACGTACTACTTTTAATAGAATTTCTCCATGTTTTTGTTAATGTATGTTATTTTTTCTTACATCGAGAATCATTACCTTGGATCCCTCCATAGCTGTTTGGAGTCGAAAACCGACCTCTTCTCGTACGTACTTGTGAATCCTCGGTTGCACTCGCTCTCGCTTCCTCACCCCCGATACCAACGAAAGCTTATCAAATATCAGCAACCACTGGTCGCAGTACTCTTCTTTGGAGGTTCAAAACGTTGAGGAAAAAAAAAAAAAAAAAAAAATCTACCAACAACAGTCAGTGGCAATCGGTCCTAGCACCATTTTTCGCTCAACGCGAGATCAATCAAGCGAAAACCGTCGACAGCCAAAGTATAGGGACACCGATCGACCGGCAAACGAGTGACAGCAGCCAACATGTACAAGTTGTGGGTGTATATTGTATATATGCAGTTTTACTGCTCGTGGGCTCTCCTCACGCACACCTGTCGTGACTCCCGGAATAGCCTGGCGAGACTGACTGTCGGGCCCATATCGTCGCCGTGGTAGACTCGAGGGGGGCCTTGCCGACTGTGTTATATCTATCACCGCTTGAACGCGACGGCGGCGGCTCGAGCCAGCGACTTATATTCTCACCGACCTACTTCCTCTTTTCTCTTTTTCTCTCTCTCTCTCTCTACACGTCGCCGTGTGTGAATTGCTCGGACCGGCGAATAGGTGGTACTTTCCCTCGGTCGCGCTCGTGTGCGCATCCATGTGAATTTTACAGTGGGCCCGGATGGACCCTTTCCCCTCGTCGTCGCCACGCCCTTTTTGCCGATTTGTCGCTTCTTTGCGGTGATGCCCCCCCCCCCTCGCGATGTTACGGTATTTTCAAGTTTTTTTTTTTTTTTTCTTTCCTGCGAAATTCGAAAAATTTTAGATAATGGTGCAACTGAGTTTTCTATAAATTTGGCTGTCAATGCACATTTTTCGGCATTTATTTGTCACTAGCATACATTATACCGATCTAAAAATAATAATAAGTTTTTTTTTTTTTTTACGGAGCGTCAAAAAACTATGGGTTTTTTTTTTTTTTTTTTTTTCGACATCCTTTTTTAAAAATGGTGGGATATGTTTACGTAACTTTTACAGAAACAAGCAAATATACATATTGCAAAGTATTAGATGAGAATAATGTCATTGAGTCAAATTCATACATAAGAATGTGTTGTACAAGTGTTTCACTTCTACTTTCTCGGGTGTCCCGTTCGTTTGTCTCTCGCTGTTTTTTTTTTTTTTTTTTTTTCCTGTTTGTCTTTGATTCGTAAATCTAGAAACCCGACTGGCATGATTATATTGACCGAAAGGAAAACAAAAATAGCCAATTCAGCTCTGTTTTGGACGCAATTTAGAAGCATTTTTTTTCTCTGTTTTGACAATATTCATTCCATCCAGAGCTATAAATCAAGCCAACTATTTTGTTTGATCGCGAAAAGGACGTTTGTATTTCAATACCCAAAAATACAACTTTTAAAGGTGTTTTTTTTTTTTTTTGCTCGTACGTGTGTATTTCATCATTGATCAATCGATAAATTACGTCATCGTTTCATTTGGTTTTGAGCTGCGCATATGCATAGGATGTTTGTCAAAAAAATCGTTACGAAAGTAAATGCTGAAATTTTTAGAAAAAATTACGGTAGAAAGGTTTTGAGTAAAGTTTTTTTTTTTCCTCTTTGAACAACAAGTCTCTTATCAGGCTTTTTTTACAATACTATTTCAAGCAAACAGGTCAACAGAGATAAGTAGTTTGAGATGTATTCAGAAAAGTTTCTCAACTAGCAAAATATTACAAGAATACAATGACAAATTTCTTTATCTTTCTCAGTTACGCTATGAAAATTTTGTGTTTTTTTAACAAAAATCTTTTTCTCTTGGACAAAAAAAAATTTGGCAAAAACAATTAATACTTTATGCGTAGATTTATTTGAAAAAAGCAATGGATAAGTTCAAAGACGTGGATTAAAGTAACATTTAACTACACATAGACACCAGAAAGCAATATATTTATTATGATTTTTTATCGTGTCTTTTTGGTTTACAATCAAGAAACTTCAGTTAAAAACCAAAATAAAAAAAAGCATTTTTGCAGAAAAAAAAATCCTGAAATGTATGACTACTGCCTGAAAGACTTGGTAAAATATACACAATAAAAAAATGTGTTATTCGAAAATTCCCTGTACTGCATAAATATAGTGAGTAGAATACGAATGATCTGGTTCAGAATGGAAAGTGTATGAGATGATTGCGATCTAAAATCGGCACACGTACATGACGCGTGTTATTTTTATGTGTGTATATGCACTATCCATGGCCATGATGAACAGGTGCTCGATAAAGTTTTCACACATCAGGGAAACAAGGACTACATCTTTAACAATTGTAAGGAGAATAATGAGCTTAAGTATGACGAGATCGAGGCTGCACTTGTATTGAATACATTCACTACTTTTTTTTTGTTAATATCGCTCCCAGTACTGCTATTGATTAACGATTTTTTTTCATCAATTTTTCTCACAGATCGACTAATGGTATGATGTCAGATACGTTGGATTAAAATGTTTTTTTTTCTTTTTTCCTTAATATTGATACTTTAAAAAGAATTTAATTTTCAACAATACTTTATAATATACAACGCAAATGCACAATGTCGGTTCAATTTCAAGTTTTCTACTTGACCCGTAATCCATAGATGTTTTTTAATGCCCTCGATTATCTGATTTGGCCATTTTTTCCTTGTTTCTTTTTTTGTGTATTCAAAGTCCTCCATAAATCTATAAAATCTTAGCAAAAAATTTACAATAGTTTTGATCACACAAATCTTGAGTACAAAAATAACCCATACTGCCACGTAGTTCGGATGGATTTTATCAACTTGATTATTTACAAGTAGGATTTTTTTATTCTCCGTGGGCCTCTGTCGTGATAATATCAAGGCATGTAAAAGTAGGATTAAACGATGCCCGTGATTAGTCTATGAAATAAAATTCCTATCTCTACCACATTCATTACATTTAAGAAGTTAGTTTTTGGATTTGAAGAAAGTAGTCTCATAATAGATTGTAGGTATACGACAACAAAAACCCATGTCCTATCGCCAGTCCACTTGAGCTGTGGCGTTCTTAGTTGCACAGGTGAACTTCAGTTTCCATTAATCTTGATAAACTACACGTGTTCGTAGTCCATACATATTGAACTATCGAAGGTGTGTAGTTCAGACTTGGTAGACTTATAGAATTATTTAGTATCGTATTATTATATCTATATGTCTCTCCATGTCTTCTAATGTGTATGTGATTTAATTAGTCAGTGATCAGTGGTCACATAGTGTATGTGTGGAAGTATGTATGTACGATGTCAAGTTTTTTGACCACTTGAAGTAATTATGACCCAAATGAGCTGAAATTTTGTTCGTAACTTCGAGTTGGATGTCTAAGCTGGTGATTTACATTTGTACAAGTTTCATAGAAAGGAAAAATTTTTATAGCAATTTTAGTGCAGCTCTCTAAGACGAAAAAACCAGTTTTTCAGCGATAACATTTTGCACGTTTGCGTCAAAAAAATAGAGTTGTAGATATCAATGAAACAAAACTTTTTTGTACAAGAAGTTTTTTTTCACAGTGCCGTATTAACGGTTCAATCGGCAAAAATCGCTAAAAATCGTTTAACGCCATTTATTTTTTGCTCATCACATTTTTAGACAAAATGTTTAATACAAAAGTTATAGACCTTCTAAAAATACACTTGTTTGTATTGACCAATTTCACCTATAGTGTTGTTATGAAAACACTTAATATCGAAAAACTTTTTAAAATGGCCAAAAAATCGTTTATTGGTTTAAATTAATACTAATACTCAGTTGGATACGATAACGAAACAAAATCAAAATCAAGTCCTGTTATTTAAATGACACTTTTTGCTCTGGTGACTCGTAGATTGGCCGTTTCTCACATGCAACATGCAAGACGAACTGTTTTGTATGAATTAAGCCACTTGGCTTACACTTACAGTATTACGACCAATTTTCCACCTGCAACTGTCTTTTTGTCTCTCTGCTAAATTATGCAATATCAACACGATCCCCGTTTAAGTTTTCAAGATAACAATAACATATGGGTGATGGGCATCAAAGGGTATTCAAATTATTATAAATAATANTACTATATTATGCTTTACGTTATAAATTATGTAACTTAAAATTAAATAAATAAACAAATTACTTGATGATCTAGAGTACGTTCAAATTATAGCTTCTTTTTATAATTAACTTTCTTTATACTACTTCTGTATTAAAAATACTTTATTCTTTGGCATATACATTCCTTTTATTAAAAATGAGAAACTATTATGTTTTAATTCATTGCAAAAACAATTCAATATCTTGTTACCATTGAAAAGGTGTTCTTACAATTTCATAAATCAACTATCACCACAGAAATATTTTATGTAAGTTTTACTTGCTAGTCATAAACTTTTAAACTGCACATAGTCTATTTTTTCATGCATGATTAATGCTAGATAACACGTAAGTACATCCGTATCATTGACTTCCTGATGCAGAATTATTGCGATTTTTAATATTCATCTCGAAAAAACGTTATTGAATAAAATAGCATAAATAATAAATAATTTCAATATGTAACCACAAAAACTGTCTGGCATACCATTTCAGTTGGTAGATGGTTATACATTTTCGAGTAGAGCTGTGAAGTAGAAGATAAGAAGAGGCAAGTAAAATTGACATTAATCGACAATGGTTGCGACTGGCATTTATTAGCCGCGTGTCATCGGCGGAATGTAAAATCGTCTTACGCAACCATTCGTGTGAAGCGCACCGCGCACCACCAACCAAGCCCGACCCAAAGGTAATGCTGATAAAAAATCTCTCGCGGAGAGTCACGACCAAGCTGGATTTTCTCTTTCTTCGGAATAACTCACTTTCGAATTATGCGCCGGTACGAGGAGAAAGAGAGAAAAAAAAAGAGATTTCTCACGTTCAACATTTTTAACCCAGCATCCGTACACGTGCACATATATGTCACTCACCCCAGGCTACTTGTAAATCGATCGCGGTTTTTCGTTGCACTCGACGGAAAATAAATCGACCGAAATAATCATACATGTACGAAAATTTAAGGAGCAAGAAAGGATGATGCCGTGGAAAGATAATAGGCATCCTGTAAATCAATCTCGCTCGCAC